GGACAGACTATTTACCCGCCGTGGAATAAGAAGTTGACGGACCGTTTTGAGTCCGTTTCGCACAGCCGGTTTCTGATTGGTTCCTCGTTGGCTCCCCGAAACCCCCGGAAGTGGTCGCAAGGACAAGCGGTGGAGGAAGTTGTTTTGCCTGCGCGACCAGTCATCTTCTTATTCCGCGGAGGGTATACATTATTATATTTAATTATCATAGATATTTTATATAGCCGTGTTATACTAAAAATGATCGAACGATATCTACCGCAAGAGTGCAGAAATAATTGTTGATAAATATGATTATATTTGCGCTACGGTAAATAAACATACCTGGTAGATACTCACATTAAATAGAAGTGAAGATAACGCCCAATTTCGAAATTCTGATCATGAGTTGTTGTTTTATTTTAGTAACGACCCGTGTCAGCATGTCGGAGAGAACTTGTCGAACTTTTTGGTTCTTATGGTAATGTTTTGTTTTATATTGTGAACACTGCAGTTTGGTTTTTATATCATGACAATAGACCTATGTAAGTATGTAACACCCAATTTGGACACCAAACTTAATGCAGATATACCCTGCTCGAATGTATTAGAAAGAACAAAAACGACCAACACATCAAAAGTATACAATTTCGATAGATCTCGTCAATTCGTATTACATTTTTTGGTGGAAATAATTTTGTCGCATCGTCAAAACTTGTTCAGTTATGATTAAAGTTGAGAAATTTCCAATATCTTATCTAACTTGACAGGAAATTTCAGGAATATCGCACAATTTACGTGAATTAATTACTATTTATTAATTGTTATATGTTAATAATTGCGTATTTAAATTAGATATTCCAGTTTTAATAAAATATAATACATAAAAATAGTTATTCCGGAATCGTAGAGTCACACAGAATTTCGTAGTTACTATAGGTATAATATCCTTGGTATCTATGCGATGAGAACCTTATGTTAATTCATGTCATTTAGTACGAGTCAAAAGACACTTTCTATCATCTGCGCCCAACATATTATTAAACTGAGGGTAGTCCATCCTCCGCATGACTCGTACCATGTAAATACTAATTAGTAATTACTATTTACTATAGCAAGTTCTTAGCCTTTCTTCTCTAGCCTGTGTTCCAACTAACCTAGAATTATAGGCGCAAGTAGCCAAATTATTTTGGGGGGTAACTATAAAGCCCCTCCTATAATATTTTCTAAAAATTATATGTACTCAGTACTAGTTACTGACTTAAAACTGGGGAGACTTGGCAGAAGTATGGCGGGACTAATTCCCCCCCAACCCCCCAAACCCCCTATTCGCGCCAATGTAACCTAGTATTCCTATACACGTAAGATGATTTATGCATCCATTGATGCATCCTCTTTACTCTCACTAGTGAACTTTAAAGTTTCTTCCCGTTCAACAATGTACCAAGTTCCTTTTGTTGTTTCATTTCACAATACCAACTACGAAAGGAACCAACTGATTAACTGTATAATAATAATATGATGCGTCTGGGTAACGAACAGTTAACCTTTCTTGTACCAAGCGATTGTTAATATTTAATGTTTTAATTTTGCTGTTTTAACAAGGCTAATTTCTGAAATCGATTTATTATTATTATTATCTTATAACTTCCAAATTCTTATGCCAACTATAATATATGTTTACTTATAGTGAGCAATATGTATTATATAATTGGCTCATCCCCCGTAAAATATCAAAATAAATAAATAAATAGTAGGTAAATAGATACCTACATTGTTTATTTAACATTCATTAGTCGTATCAACCGTATTGGATAATACGCGGTAAACCAACTATATGCCTTACCTATTAGTACGCTCTAGGTTAATGACTATCTCTAGCATAAATTCAGATTGCTCTGTTAACCTTTGAGGTACGATATGGCATGCGTTTTGTTAGTACTTCGTCCGTTTCCTAAATTTATTTTATTTATTTTATTTATTTGTTAACGGGCTGGGCCCTATTCAACAGTTTAACATAATACAATAATACATAATTTAAAATAATTAATACAATGACATAATTACATTTATATAAGATAATAATTACAGAATAATAATGATAATAATGATAATAAAACAATATAAAAATATATAATAATAAATGTATCAGTTTTGATAAACGGTGCTCTCATTGGCCAGCCGCATCATGCGGTCTAACGGATTATTTCTGCCATAATTGGTAGTGTGCGCAGGAACAACGAAGGGAGCATGGTATCTAGTAGCACGGGAAGGAACTCTGAAATTGACTATCGAGAGAAGTGAGGGAGCATCTATACGACCATCAATCAGTTTATTCAGAAACTCAATGTTAGCGTTAAATCGCCTGTCGGCCAGTGAAATGAGGCTGAGTTCCTGCATAACTAAGAAATAATCATGGGGAGGATGATTTATTTTTAAGACAAAAGCTGCGCAAGATAAGAACCGTCTCTGAACACGCTCTAATTGACATGAGTCAGATACCGTATAAGGGTCCCATAGGACCGATGCATACTCTAAAAGTGAACGGACCAATGAGCAGTATAAAGTTTTTAATGAAGAAGATAAATTGAACTCCTTTGATATGCGCATTACAAACCCAAGCGTTTTTAAGGCTTTGCAGCATATCATTTCAGTGTGGGAGTGAAAATTGAGATCGGAATTAAAGATAATACCTAGGTCTTTCTTACTACAAACCGATGTTACACTTGAACCATTGATGGAGTAAGTATAGTTAATAGGGGAGCGGTGTCTTAAAAATGACATGGAATGACATTTATTTACATTAAACTGAAGACCAATATTATTAAACCAGGAGACCAGGTTGTTGAGATCATTCTGGAGCGTAGAGCAGTCAGATAAGTTATCAATTTTCCTAAAGAGCTTCAAGTCGTCGGCGAACATGAGAAGTTCACAGTTTTTGACAATTTCCTTGATGCCATTTACATACAAAGAAAACAGTATTGGAGATAAATGTCCTCCTTGAGGAACTCCAGAAGAGACCTTTGAGATGGATGATTTGCATCCGAACACTTTCACCCATTGGACTCTGTCTGACAAATAAGATTTGAACCAAGACAACAATGGTTCACCGAACCCAGTTTTGTATAGGGTCTCGATTAGGCGGCCATGGTCGACTCTATCGAAGGCTTTAGTAAAGTCTGTGAAAATAACATCAACTTGGATGTGCTTCTCGACAGCCTTCATAACAAAATTGTTAAAAACGAGTAAATTAGTAGTGGTCGAGCGACCAGGCCTAAACCCATGTTGCTCGTCGATTAGAATAGAGTTAATTGGCGATTGAATACTTCTCAATACTAGAAGTTCAAACAGTTTGGATATGTGGCTCAAAATAGAAACAGGTCTATAATTTTTGACATCAGCTTTATCACCAGATTTAAAAATAGGAGTGACAGAGCTAATCTTGAAAGAAGAGGGAAAAACTCCACTTTCGATTGAACGCTTAAAAAGTAGCCACAGTGGAAAACATAATGAAGATTTCACATTGTATAAGAATATACCTGACAAGCCGTCGGGGCCTACGGACTTAACATTTTTTAGTGCGTCTAGACCAGCGTCAACATCATCGATGTCGAATGAACAAGTGCTAGGTAGGTCATGGAACAAAAAAGGAGACGAATGGTCATTAGACAAAGGAGGGACATAGACTGTATTGAAGTAATGGGAAAATAAGTTAGAGACAGACTCTGAACCCGAGCTTTGTAAATTATCAAAATGTACTGAGTGGGGAATTTCGTTGCTAGATTTATTAACTCGGACAAAGTCCCAAAACGACCTGGGGTTAGATTTAAGCATAGACTCAGTGCGAGACAGGTAGACAGTATGACATCTCTTGTATTCAGCCTTATAAGAGGCACGAAGTGCGGAAAATTCCGCATAATCAAGGGGACAGCGTGAAGCTTTAAACTTGGCATGTGCCCTTTTCTTGCTTAAAACAATATGCTTAAGATTTTTTGAAAACCATTTCGGGAATGTCGAAGGTATATAAGACACTTCCGGAACAAAGTTTAAAATGCAAAAGTGCAAGGCGTCATAAATTGCCTTAGCCGCTTCATCAACGTCGAGAGATATTATGGTCTCCAACCAATTAAATGAATTTAAGAATTCGCATATTTTTGAATAGGGAGCACGGCGGAAGTCATAATAATTATGGGAACGATCAAGTAAAGGGGGGAGTATATCCAACTTTATCATGATATCAAGAGCCGGGTGGTAGGGATCACAAGGTACTGCTGGAGTTACGGCTTTAGAGATATAGATTCTGTTATCATTGGAGAACACAAGGTCCAAGACAACACCAAAAGAGTTTTGAATATCATTAAGTTGGAAAAAGTTAAAGAACGCAAATGCATCAGGGATACATTGAACTCTGGGATTAGAAACCGTATTGTAAAGTAAACCAAAATCATCGTTGGACCATATAATATCTGGCAAATTGAAGTCACCACAAAAAATGAATACACATTCTGGATGAAGGAGAAGGACAGATTGTACAGCGGAAATAAAAGACTCATAAGCAGAAAGCGGGCAATTAGGAGGAAAGTACACTGAGCACACTACATAGTTGATGTTATTATAACTAAGTTTAACAAATAGATGTTCAACAGTGGTAGCTGGAGTGTAAATTAAATTAGATACTATGTCACTACGAATGGCAATGAGAGCGCCGCCACCCCTAGAAAAATTACTTGTTAAACTATTTCTATCACATCTATAAATGATGTAGTTGGATAGACCAAGCTCACTATCATAGAAGCTGTCACATAGCCATGTTTCAGTGAAACAGATAAAAACATAATCAAAAACAGCGACATTACATTTTAAATTACTTAGTTTGGTTCTTAACCCGCGGCAATTTTGATAAAAACCTAAGAGAATATGGTTACAAGTACATAAATCACTACATAAACAATAATCCTTACTATTACAATTATAAGAGTGTATATCAACAGGAGGATCACAGATAGGCGTACATGAAGAAATTAGTTTTTTGGAGTGTCGCTTAGAATCATCTCGGGCGTAAGACGACCCCAAAATCGTTTGACCATTACGCCATCAGGCCAGAATGTAGGTTTGAGGACTTCATCAAGCTTCTCCGCAGGCAGGCGCACATGAAATGAAGAATATGATGGGTGTTTTGTCACTAATTTATTTATGGTCACATCTGAGTAGCTATTGAACAATTCAGATTCAAGCATAGTGGTCGTTACACATGGCTCAAGTCTTGAGACAAAGATATCAATATGCCTCCGCACTGGCACTGAAGACAACTTGGAGGATACACTTTTATGAGAGCCAACGATAAATTCTGATTTTATGGACGAGGATAAACTAGCAGTCGATTGGATTGCAGGCTGTCTAGAATGAGTATCCGCATTCAGCTTGGAGAGTAAAGTAGTTGGTAGATTGTTTGAACCAGTATTTAAATTAGGAGAAGTGGAAACCTTAGCAGTCGTATTGAGACGGTTTAGCTTATCATGTAACTTAGAGTTACTAAGTGCTACAGATTTGAGCTCATCGACAACAGATTGAAGAATAGTGGCCACATTTAATGAGTTCTCAGAAGATAGCGATGTAGGGTTAGAAGAAGATCCTTTTAAGAATGTTGACAATTCCTCACTCAATTTCACCCCAGTAGGTAGTGATTGAGTAATAATGAAGTCAACGAGCATGCTTTTTGTCCACTTATTCAGCTCAGTAGAAAGTAGATCATTACTTTGGGCCATTGCGTTAACGACTAATAGTTTAACTAATAGGCAAATAATCAAAATTAATTAAAATAAAATAAGACGCCTTTGAAAATGTAGATAGGCCAATTAAATTACACCCGACGCTAAAAGTAGCTATATGTGTTGGCCTTGACACGTGCCGTGTTCTAATCAAGAAAAATTGAGACGCGGGACGTCGCTACTTATCGTTAGTCGATAAGCCGTAATTAACTGATAAAGTGAATTTATTTGGTTTTACCTTTTCACGTTCACGTAGTATAACAGAATTAAAAAACTAATATTAAGTGAAGAAATATTAAGAAGACTGACTCAACAACGACACCAGTCATTCGCGCACTTTTTATAAACTTAACAAGCTTAAAAACGTAAAAAACGGTTACTTATTTCCAAAGGAAACAAGAAGCGAACACAGAGCGTAATTGACCACTTGTTCACGAACTTATGGGAAATGGGAATGATTATTGGGACGCCACAACCAGAGCACTGTTCAGTTTGTAATAAACCTCATTGACTATAGGTGTGTGGGTTCAGAGCACTGTTTCAATACTAAAGGTAAGAACGAAGAAGACTTTGAAATAATACTCAACTCGAGTTTTTAGGTCGGAAAAATGTCTATTATATTAAAGCAAACATAAATAAAACACTTAGAAAATTCAAATTGCCTAGTCCGTACTACGATCGACGTTTCACACGTACAACCGTCGTACCTACGTCTCCGAAACACTCAGCGACAACGGGGGGGGGGGGGGGGTGCCTGCGCGAACGGCGGTGTTATATAGTAAAATATTATTGCTGCCTCAGCACATACTGCCTAGCTGGCCTGACCTTTGTCAATAATTTACAATTTAAAATATTCCCACCTATATTACATATACATTAAATAATAATATTTTGACGACTGTCAACAATATACGACATTAGTTTATTACCTTAAACATCCAGTTGAAAACAAATAATGTGATATTGAAAGTTGAAACGATTTGCATATGCTTGATTTACCTACTGGCTAATATTTATTTACTAGCAATATTACTGTCTATTATAATGAAACCTTTTTTTTTTTAAATAAATTACATAAACAATTTAAAAAATATACCTTTTCATTTCCGTAATCCCGGAAACAATTCCACTTCTGTAACCCTCGGGGTGTGGACTTTTCCGGGAATTTCTGAGAGTGGCGTTTGTTATAATAAAAAAGTCAATTTTGAGTAAAACAAAAAAATACAATCATTAATCGAAATATACCAAGTACGAATTTCCTATGGGAGACCATCCTTTTTGTCCACTCTGTATATCGTGATAAAGGTTCACGCCATTCGAGGTCATATAGTGCACGGTAGATAATCATTCGCTGATCACAATTGGTAGTAAAAAACATACAAGGAGTTAAGGAGGCAGTTAAAAAAAGATCCAAAGAGTTTTGTTGATCGTATATAGAAGAGAGTTTGTCGTTTACGATTAGTCGTATCAATTATAAAATATTATTTTAAAAAACTAGACAAAATAACTAATATTATTGATGGGCAGCTAGACGTGTCACGTTACATTTTACAAAGTTAATCTATGCGTGGCCTTTGATAGAAATGAATGTTCATAACCAACTAAAATATGATATAACCCGACAGTGAAAATAATATAAGTACCTATACTAATTAATGTATGCAATAATTTACTATTAGGTACCTTAAAGAAATGGTATGCGAACGATGCAGTAAGTTATTTTAAATGTTTGATGATGATATGTTGCAGCTACATATGGGTAGTTAAATTATATGAAGTTTACTTCAAACGATGTGACTGTTGACTGAGAAAATGGTTTTAAAATAATAATGGACATGTATTAGAATAATAATATGTCAAATATTCTTTCATTTTCTATCAGCTTCGTCAAGTGAACAGTTATTTTTCAATAGTAGGTATCTTTAATAACGTCGGTTAAAATAATTACATATTATATTATAATAATTCGTTAATTTAAAACTGTTTTAAAAACATACGCAGCGACAGTTGCAGTCAATTTGAAATATTATTATATAACACTAAGTGCATGAAATAATATATGAAACATAACGTAATAATACCTTTTCAGAAGAAACTTTATAGAGTAAGAACAAAATTTTATTGTTTGTGAAAAAAAACACGTTTTTACTTTTGTTGACCATTATTAAATTTTTTTTTCACTTCAAAATGTACATAATAATTGTATCTTTTTAAAAATATTTTGCTTTTAAACTTCAGTAAAAAATATACAAATTTTTTTCTCAGTTAAAAGTTTTATGACAAGGTAAAAACTAAAAATGTGCTCTGCTGTACAGTAGGTAACAAGTGGGTCACTGTATAATGGATGGTATTAAATTTGAATTAATATCATTGTTTTAAGAAAAACGATTCTGAGCGAAAACGGTTAGTCAGCCTATGATATTACGAAGTATATTTGATGATACTAAGGTGAATAAAGTAATTTATATATATAACCTATTTAAGAGGAATCTTGTTTTACATTTTCAATCATATGCTATAAAAGTTGAACATTTTATAAATTGTAAACTACAAATTTATTATTAAATTTTAAATGTGATACATTTTGTCAACATTTGAACTTTAAATGCTTATAAAAAAAATTGGGCCTATGTATTTTGAATATTTTTCAAATGTTATTGTAACAATATATCAGGAGCTTTGCATTAAATTTTCACTCATTTTTACCTAACAAATAAAATTTTATTGATATTTATAGAAAAAAAACTAAAAAAATTGAAAACTGAAAATGTCCGTGAACAGCTCAAAAAGAGCCAAAATATTTTCAAAATTGTATGGTGTATAGGAAATGCTAATATAAATATTCGGTGAAATTTTCAAGTATCTACAGTCATTCGCTTTTTAATTAAAATAAAATTATAAAATCGTTACATGAAAAATCGAGTGAATATCAAATGTCATAAAAATATGAATTTCAAACGCTCATAAAAATTTAATTTGAGTTTCTTGTGAACATCTTTTTTTGATAAAGATAGACAAACTTATGAGGAATCTTGTATTACATTTTCATATCTTATAGATTTAAAAAGAAAAATTTTTATAAAGTTCTAACTCGAAATAATTTGCAAATTTTCGTCATTTTTTACTTATTTTGTCAATATTTGAACTTTAGATGCTTATAACAAAAAACTGTGACCAAGGATTTTTAATATTTTTCATCTGTCTTTGAAAAAATACATTAGGAGCCTTCTATTAAATTGTTAAGCTCGTGTACCCAAAAATAAAATTTTATTGATATTTATAGAAAAAAAAAAACTAAAAAAAATGGAAACTGAAAATGTCCGTAAAGAGCTCAAAATAACTCAAAATATTTGGAAAATTTTATCATGGTATAGAAAATGGAAATATAAATAACCAGTGAAATTGTCATGTATATACGTTCATTTGTTTTAGAGTAACAACAAAAACCAAAATCGATTTATCGTAAAAATTCTCGTTTTTCCTTAATTTTTCTTTTGTTTTTCACGGCGCTTTTGAAAACTACTGGAAAAATTTTACTTTTGACCCCCCAAGTACCTACTAGATTCACTTTCCTATCAGAAAATATACTGTTGAAGAAAATCCAAGCACGTTTACTGTCCTAAAAGGGATGACAGACACAACAAATAAATAAAAAAAAACACACATCCTTGTAAAATCAATACATTCATCGTTCCACTCAGAATCTAAAATGTATTAATAATATTTATTAATTTATTTAAAGTATAATGTTACATAATATGTCATATATATAATAGAGATACCTTATAAGAGATATAAATTAGTGTTAAATATCAATTATTCATGTACATACTCTATAGATATATTTAATTAATTTCCATCCAAAATTTAATTACAAACTGTTAAATTTGAAAAGACAGCTACAATATTTTAGTTTCAAAAAAAGCATAAATTAAATTAATAATTATTTTATTAATGTTGTTCTATTTTATAAAATGATCATAGGCTATTATCTTAATGTCACTTACTCACTTCTATTGGGGCCTATTTATTAGATATTTTGTCATAAAATATTTGTAGCTATAACTTGACTGATTATTATACATTCATCCCTATTTTTTTTCGATTTTTCATTCTAGGATTGATAACCTTTTTCCAATTACGGCTGTCACTTCGGTATGTTAAACTATGTTTCTTTCTTTCTCTTGCATGGTATTTGTGATATTCGATGCTTGACATTGACTTCAGCTGTGTTTGGCAATAAAATCTTATAAAACCTTATCCGACGAGATGGTTTAAAATAGCACTTCCGGTTGTTAGTGTGTCTCGTGCTGACAGTATAAAGTATTTCCCTCAAACATCAATGAAAAATTGTGAAATAACAATCAGAAAAGGCTCATAAAAAATGCAAACTATTTATTTTTTTATTTTGATAGCTTATTTTGCAAATCGTTTTGGTGTCAGATAAAACGAATATGCTGTAAATTCCTTTAAAAAGATATTGATCAAACAAAATGAAAATGAAAGATAAAAATATATTAGCTCGAAGATAATTAATATGTCAGTCAAACGTTACAGATTGAACGATTTATAAAAACTATTAAATACTGTACTGAAATATATTCCAAAACCAATTATTATAATATTGTAACTTTTATTCCATTTTTATTTTCGTTTGATTACCGTAACTTAGAGTAGATCCATATGAGACTTAAATTCCTATAAATCACAAGCATGTAAAAGCTTGACTGTCGAAGGTTCAACTACCCCCCCCCTCTTTAGAAAAATAAAAGGTTTTTCTTTATATTATATCGTTATAATAGTTATAACTTTTAATATTGGTTATGATTTATGAACCCCTCCCCCTAAATATGTCCATGTGTGTCATTTCTGTGTGTATCACATAATATTATAATATTATAATGGTATTAATAAGTATATATAATACCAGATTAAACTTTTACTAAAATCAAATTCCATTCTATATAAAGTATTCATGTTGCGTTTGCGTTGCCATG